CCCCAAAACCCCAAAACCCCAAAACCCCAAAACCCCAAAACCCCTCAGCACTAATTTTTAACTGAATCAATAATGGTTGTAATGGTATTCGATCACTCTCTGTTCCTTCTTCAACACCTTCTCTGCGAAGCTGCCTGTGAAGGGACAGTCTCCAAGGTTGGAAGAATATGCTTTCTTGACTATCTGCACTCCCCAAATGTCTTCAAATTGATTCAGATTTGAGTTAACTCCTTCCATAAGTTTTGACCCAAGGATCTGGGAGTCTTGGAAGATATTGGACATCAGCATAAACTTTGTGTGATGAACATGCTGAACTCCTGTGATTTCGAAGATCTCCTTAGCTTTTAGTAGGTAATCAATTCCTTGAAGATACCTCTTCTTGAGATCTCTCTCTTTCCCAAGGAACTTCTCCATGAACAAATATTGTTTCTTGTTGGGATTCAATGAAGCAACTAGTTCGTCCAGCAAGTTGATATCATTCTCTTCCTTGAATTCTGAAAGCGTCATTTTTATACATTTTGATAGTTTTTGCAAAGTTTTGAAATCTTTTAAAGTTCCACGCTCAAGATCAGTCCAGTATTCATCATGAAACCCAGGAAACGGGTAGTCAATCAGGATCTTGAACATTGAATCTCGAAACTCTTGATGCTTTTGCATATTACTTCTGTAAGTTTGATTAAAACTTTCAAAGATAGATACATCTTTCTTAGACTCTTTCTTACTGCTGTTTTCAGCAATATAATCTGAGTGCAATTGTTTCTTCCTTTCATTAATATGGTCAATATATGCAGAAGGGCCTTCTCCGATGGTGTGAAACTTGTCACTCCTATATGCTATCAGCAGTCCTTGCAGCCTGAAATTTTCAGCTTCTAGAGTCTTGGCCTTGAGCTCAAGTTCTTCTACGTAAGCTTTCTTCCTGTCTCGAGACTTCTGGGCTCTCTTCCGGCCTCTTTCTCTACGTACTTGGATTTCCTCCTTCTCTTCACCTGGCTGAGGAACTTCTGAGTTGGATATTTGTGCAGGTATGGACTATAATAGGAGTTAGAAAGATCATATGAGAGCAAGACAAGGATATTTGATATGATTTTCAAAAAGAACAAAAATTTGATGAGAGAAGTCGTGAGCTTAAAAGATTACATAAAATGCATCAGATATTTCACTGAACACAGCAAAAATCCCATCTCTACCCACTACCCCAACTTCCAGATCCTCATACTCCCTTCCCATACCAAATTGCCTAACATCTTTAAAATTCAACCCTTTTCCCCTCCACTGGGGTTTTGGGGTTTTGGGGTTTTGGGGTTTTGGGG